CTGGAGTGGATTTAGTGAAGGACTGCCAAGCAGGTCAGGGGCTGGGCTACAGTCCTCTCAATGTCCCTTCCAACTTGAATGTGAGTCTGTAAGTGGGAGAGCACTGTGATAATTATTCCAGTGAGTTTCCTAGAGGCAAATACCTAGAATGCCCACAGGTGAGGCTCATTTCTTTTTATCAGTGTATTTGAATTTTTACCAGTCTACTGACTTTAAGAACAAACAAACCAGACTATTTCTTTCTCATCCCAAATGCAAGTGGTTCATAAAGATCAGGTAGAAATAAATAAATTTAGTTAAATAACCCAATCTCTTTATTATGCAAGCCATAACTTGTTGGGACCCAGCCAGATACCTGCTCTTGGATCTCTCATTTCTTCCTCACTGCCCTCCACCCAGCTGCTGGGGTCTCCTTGGCCCAGCCAGGTCCCTCAATGCTATCTTTTTCAACCTGGTTGTTAAACATCATCTGCTGAAAGTCAGAGTCAGTTTGCAATCTTTCTGTGTGTCTTGTTAGGTTAAGATGCTAATGTAAAGTTTGTTCTACAAATGTGTTGTTCAATTGCTCTAAGATATTAAATGTGCTAAATGTCTTCTATGAAACAATAAATTTGAGAATCCTCAAACCTTGAAAGGAGGTTGGAATGGATATATAATTCCTGACTGCACCAAACAGTATTGCTATTGAGTTGAGTTACCTGACATTGAATTTTAGGGAATGACTGGAGCTCTGAACTGTTGAGGCTTTGTCTGCTGGGGTCTGGCATGTTTGAAAGAAGCCTTACAAAACAAAATTGGGCTCACTGAAATGTAACAGCTATGTTGGCATGAAAGAAAGGCACAGTGAAAATACTGCTTGTATTGCAGTGTGATTTCAGTGTCTGCTCTGTGGATGGGCAGTCAAAGTTTGTGATGGGAAAACTCACAGTCGTGTTTCAAGTGGAGATTATGCCAGAAGAAATAAAACTGAGTTTGATAATTCTCCTGCTTGCTGTGTGATACGTTTGAGATAATAAATCACGTGAAGAAATACCTTGGAATGTTTGTAACCTCTCCAGGCTGAGGTAAAGAGGGGGGGAAATGGTGACATTGAAGAAAGTTAATTGATTGAATATGTATGTCAAGAAAATGTCTCCTGATAACAGTTGCAAGTAGTCATACAGCTGAAAAAGTTCTGCCTTGAGAAAGCAGCAGTTTGTTTTTCTTCTGAGAAGGCTTAGAAGGAAACAGAACATCTTTTTTTATTCTGGTTGCTGAAAGTGTTGTCCAGGAAGGCAGAAAACTGTGACATTTAAGCTCATAAAACTGAAATTAGGAGTGTGTCTCAAGTGTGGTTATCTTTATGTGTGAAAATAGCTGCTCAAAGAAGGCAAAATTCTCAAATTGGAAAAGGAGCCTTTTGGAACGAGTGGGGGTGTTGTAGCTGCCTCGTGCTTTTCCATCCCTTCTGAAAGACATGTTATCTTTGGGTTTTGGCGCTCTCCCTTTAAGAGGACATTTGGGTTTATGTAACAGAGGTAATGAAAGGTGTGAGATTTAGGATAAGAAGTGCTGTGTTAGTGATGAGGCACTATGAAGTGGGTCTCCACAGCCTTAGGCAGTTCTCCTGCTTTCCCAGGCACTGATACTAGACGTATGTGCCTTACTAGTTAAGGAAATCTAACCTTCTTTAAAATAAAGAGTGCTTTTACCGTTCTGTTTTGTGCTAGTTGGGTTTGAGGGATGGAGTAGGTACAAAGCTTAGTAATTGGAGTGGGATTCCTCAGTGTAGGTGTTTTTTGAGCATTGCTTCAGGTAACTGTGTAAAGGCAAAGGCATCTCTTGATTTTTAGACTCTTGGTAGCTGCCATTGACTTTGAGAAATAGTCAAAGCATTGAGAATGGGAACAGTTATGTTCTTCTCATGAGGCTGCGGGTCTGAGGTTACTTCTCATTTTGCTACCAGTAGAAATGGGCCGTGTTCTTCTTAGGGCAGATTTTTACATGCGTATAAGTACATTTATTATTTCTATAACTGCCAAGACAATCTTTTATCTTTATGATTTGTTGCAGACATGCTCAAGTAGACTTTTGTTTTCTGTTTTATAACTGTTGTAAAATGTGGCTTGTGTTGATGTTTTTAACGTACACGACTGATTAAAATATAAAAGCAGGAAGATTAATCATTGCGTGTGTGTTTGAATACTCAGTGAATTTTTACACAGCCACTGTGCTAAGCTGTTTACCTGCTTTTTATTTTCCTGCTGGCAGAGCTGTTAACTTTCCGTGCCTAACCTTAATGTGTAGCGTTCTTACAGAAGCTTAAGAGTGGTAGATGATTTTAGGTTTTAAGAGGCAGTATTCCCAAATGCTTTCTTCACTCTTTTTGTAAACTGCAGAAACATTTCCAGCTCTTGGCTCTGGCGAGACTGTAAGAGTCTGGCCAGCCAAACAAAAAAGATTGGAGTACTTGTACTCCAGCGTCCCATTTTGAAATGCAACTGGAAAAAACTGCTCCTCTTTTTTTTTTTTTTTTTTTTTTCTTTCTTTTTTTTAATACACAACACCATCTTCCCTCTCCACATTTTGTCACTTCTCTGCCCTTGGCCCTTTTAGTCATGAAATATTAACAATTTTGTTGCAGAAGCTTGGAAAGACACAGTTTCATGGGATTTATGGAAGTTGTCCAGTCAAGCACTGTAGACCTTGAACTTCCCAGTGAGCTGGGATGACAAGAGCTGTTTAACAAAGGCAGCAAAGCTTCAGCTGTAGACCCTGTGTCACCACCCTTGGTGACGTGCAGGCAGATGGCTTTGGTCATGCTCCAGGCTGCCTTCAGTGTACAGGGGGATGGGCACCTGGGTCTTGCTTGTGGCCAGACGGGGCTTGGCACGGAAAACAGTTTTCATCGGGGGAGTTAGAGAGGGATGGAAGGTTAAAACCAGTGAAACCTTGGAAGAAGGAAAGTAGAATCAAAAGATACAGAAAGAGACACAAATTGCAGCGTAGTATTGAGTGGTTGTGTGGAAAGAGGAGGAGAGATGAAGCAATCACCAAAGATAGACCAGGAATTTCTGTGAAGACGAGCTGAAAAGGTGAACTAAACAAGTGAAGGGAAAGGTGGCAAGTAAGAGAGAAATTAAAAATACTTTCATGAACCTAGCTAATGGAAATACTAGTTTGTTACCTTCCTGCTTGAAAGGGCATAGCTGTGTTCCTTAACTGTGGTGTACTTTGTCACAGCTAACTTTGTGCCAGCCTGGAAGGATTCTTCGGAGCTTATTGACCTCAGTAGGTAATGATGGCAAGATGCAGGACCCTAAGCTGTCATGAACACCTCAAAACAGGCAGAATTTAACATTTTGTGTGTTTACTGTGACTGTGTAATTCACTGGTCATTGCGATACATCTGAAAACTTCTGTTCATTTTTCTGCAGTGTGATTGAATTGAGAACTTGAGTTCTCATGATATGCATTGTGTTTAAATGTACTGAAGTATCTTGATAATGCATCCTGGTGTGGTGGTAGAGGTTATGTGTTGTTTGGGTTTTGTTGTTTCTTTTCAGTGCAGTTAGTGCCATCCAGGCTGTCACTTATGCCACTTTTGCAACCCAAGTCTTATGCTAACTTTTTGTAGTTGAAGAGTGAATTAAACTTTAAAACAATGGAGCTTTTGGGGTGCCTATCTTTAGAAAAGAACTTCTATTTGCTGTAACCTGGAAAAGAATTTGTCTGTTTGTCACTGTGAGGGACTAGGGGTTTTCAGGGTTCGCTTGGGGAGAGTCAAAATAAAGTTTTCACATGTTTCTATTATGTTACAGTAAAAAGTGGTTGATTTATATCACATCCTTGGACTGGAAGACTTTTCTGACATGTGCTACATGTTTGAACAACTACTCTGATGAATTGAGTCTAGTCTGTTTGTATGTATTGCTCTGTGCACTGGTTCTTAGGTCTTCAAATATGTAACTATTTTCACATGGAAGTACCTATATAGAGTGAGCTAACTTTCTATTTTTAGTTACATACTAAAATAATTCTTACACAGATGCTACTTATAGTGTGCAATAAAACATTTTTAGTGAACCTGAGTTGCTCCTTTTTAAAACAAAATGAAAAACCCCCACTGCTTTTTATCAGTCTGGTTGCTCAGCCAGGCAGAGCAGTTCCTTCAAGTGGCTTAATGAAGATTAGATTGATTTATTTCACTCATCTGGAGAGTGTGTGGATTACCTCTGTCAATACTGGGCATGATAAATGAGGGCTGGGCACTTAGAGAGCAATTTGAATTATTTGAGCTGTTCAGGGATTGAGAGTGACTTGATTCAAGAGACACTACAGGGAGAAAATGCTGAGTACCTTTTGGGATCTTCTGAGGTAGTTGGATCATGATACAAATCAGTGACTGGAAACTGATACTGCATGTGTTTATATGTGAAACTGGGATCAAACTACTGAAGAAGTAGCTGTTATCTTCTGATCAAGCTTCGAAGCCTAGCTGGTGATATTCTTTGGCCATGCACAAACAGAAATTACAAGGTTGAGGTAGAATTGCTGGGTGAAATGCAGTGGTTTGGGATTACATAGGAGGTCAGAGAAGGCGATTTAATCATTCTTTTGGGAGAATAAATGAGTAGGAAAAAGATTCTCTTGATATTTCTGCTGCCTCGAAAACAACACAAATTTAGGAGTTAGGCTAAATCAGATCATTGTATTTGTACCACCATGGTTTCCTAAGCTTGGTACAATGTTTTGTTAAAAGTCTTGTGAAAAACTACTTGCTGGCCATTGCTCTACCCTGTGTGGTTGTGTGCGTGTGCAAAGTACATACCAAGAACTGAAAGGCTCAGGAGTGTGTTGTGGAGACCCTCGCTCGCTGGTGGTGTTATTGAACCTTGGGTAAAGATGTACCTTAATGCATGTCATGTTTAAGACTGCTGCAAAGCAGTGTAGATAGGCGTTTTAGTTACTTTTTTTGTAATGTTTTTCTGACCTGTGTTTCTGTTCTAACTTGTAGATTTTGGATCTTTGTTTGACTTGGAAAACGATCTTCCTGATGAGCTGATCCCCAATGGCGAGTTGGGCCTTTTAAACAGCAGTGGGAACCTTGTTCCAGATGCAGCTTCCAAACACAAGCAACTTTCTGAACTTTTAAGGGGAGGCAGCGGCTCTTCCTTAAACCCAGGAATTGGAAATGTGAACTCAAATAGCCCTGTCCAACAAGGCGTTGGTAGTCAAGTTCAGGGGCAGCCGAACAGTGCTAATATTGGTAATCTGAGTGCTATGGGTAAGAGTCCTTTAAACCAGGGAGACTCTTCTGCTTCCGGCCTGGCAAAGCAAGCAGCCAGCACCTCTGGACCTACCACACCTGCGTCACAAACTCTGAACTCTCAAGCACAAAAACAAGTGGGGCTGGTGACAAGCAGCCCTGCAACATCACAGACTGGACCTGGGATATGTATGAATACTAATTTCAGTCAGACACACCAGAGCCTTCTCAACAGTAATTCTGGTCACAGTTTAATGAATCAGCCTCAGCAAGGACAAGGGCAGGTAATGAATGGATCTCTTGGGGCAGCTGGAAGAGGAAGGGAAGCGGGAATGCAATATTCTGCCCCTGCCATGCAGGGGAATGCAGGCAGTGTGCTTGCAGAGACTTTAACCCAAGTATCTCCACAGATGGCTGGTCACACTGGACTGAACGCAGCACAGACAGGAGCAATGACTAAAGTATGTACATATACTTTGATATATCTTATTTATTGCACTTGTTTTTCTCCATACAGGTGTTAGAAAATGTAATAGATTCTTTTCTGGAACTAAAGAATGCACTTTCTTGAGTCTGTAGTTACCTGTTCCAGTCACCAGTGATATCATGAAAGCAAGATAATTGAAACAGTATTTCTCATGTAATGAGGAATGAAAGCACTTGTTGAAAAACACATCCTTAAGGTTGAAAGTTGGATAGTATCTTGGCAGAATGAATTAGAAAAGAGTAGCGTAATCCTGCAAAAAGGAATAGAAGATTACTTCTGTGCAGGATCTCAATTTAGCTGCCAGACAACAATACCTTTTAAAGTGATGTGAGAACTTAAAGGAATATTTGTAATTGGAGGGAGAGGTGTAACAATTGGTCCCCTTGTCAAGGACCACTGTCAACAGCTGTGCAGTGAATGTTTTCAAATCTAGAGGAACTGGTCTGAAAACATCAAATTTCACATAAATTGTCAAAGTAATGCAAAGTCTGTGAAAGGAAAGGGCAGTGTTTGGGCAAGAAGTCTAATTCAGTGGCCATTGCAGGGCAGGGAATATATACACCTGGAAGTATCTCCCCCTGCTTGATATAGTAATTGTTTTTTAGTTCTTCGTTTTCCAGGTGTGAGCTTAAAGAAGTGTTTTGATTGCGGCTCCTCCTGTCTCAGTGGGATAGCAGTGTGCCTCATCTCTTGGCTGTGTTGCTTTGGTACAGTTCCTTTGTGAAATTTTGGTGGCAAACCCACAATATTCTGATATGTAGAAAAAGATAATTTTTTAACTCTGGTATTTTATCTGTTCATACATCACTAGTCATTATCATTTATTAACACATAAATGTTAGTTCATTGATGTGTTAGGAATCATGAAAAGAAATTGCATTGCCTGATATAAAAGCATAGGTCATCTCTGAAGTAATGCTGATCTCACTGTGGAGTACTTTATGGTTAATTTTTATCTTTAAAAAATAAAACCCATAAGAAGTCGTCTCTCTGTGGTGAAGGGGAACCTTTTGCTTAAGGATCGTAGTAAAGGTGTAGCATATGAAAGTGGATATAGCTGTTTCCAGCCTCCAAATTTGCTACATTGGTTATGCAAGGCAGGTTGGTGTGCACATAAAGAAAATCAGTTTATCTTTCTTTTTTTTCCTCTGAAATTCGTGGGAAGAGTGACAAAACCCAATTATCTGGCTTATTTCTATAAACTTCTGGATATCTAATTTCTTGGGAATAGATTTTTCCTAGCCACTATGCACTTACATGGCAAAGCTACTAATTTCCTATGTGAACTAACCAAGCAGAATTACCTCAAAGCGAAGGGACTTGCCTGAGGTCTTCATCTGATGGAGTAACGTGTAAGCCTGGTGGGGGGAGGTTCAGTGATATCTTGGTTTAAAATAAGCAAACCCACCTTAGTAAGGAACAAGCCACCACTCAGACAAATTACATTCTTTAAGGACTTCAGTCTTAGCCTGATGCCAGCTGCAAATGGGATTCACCAGCTTGGGAAGGTGAGCTGGACTTTCTCAGTTACCACATGTTCAAGAAGTAAGGAAAAAGTTAAGTTGAACAAGAAATACATTGGAAAAGAATAGTGGCAGTATCCCTGTTACATAAATAGTTTGTCCGCATAATGCAGTGCTGTGCTCCTGTGCACTGCTGATGCATTTACAGAAGACAAGAGCAAAACTAGTGCTTTCAAAGTCCTTACACAGGAAATTGTTTGGAGAAACTGAGAAAGTAGGGCTGCTTAATAACAGAGCAGAAGTGGTAAGATGGTGCTTCTGTGAAGGTGCATGTAAGAGAAAACAATTTTAAAAATTTGGCCAATTTATTAAAAAATAGAAGAAATGGTGTTTTCCAGGGCTCTACCACTTTTTGATCAAGATGAAGCTTAAAAGATTTGTGGGTTTGGTTTTGTTTTGTTTTTAAGTTTTACTTTATTTACAGCTTAATTTTGTCTCAGTAAGACAGCAGGTGAGCACGATGTTTTACACAAATACTTTGTCTTTCCATTTTGGAACAAATGACTTGCTCACTGAATTTTCTTCTGACAAGCAGAAGCATTCTCTATTTTTGCCATTTTCCTTAATCGGCATTTGAGGATTGGCATCCTTGTCTAGTCTCTTCCCATCACCCAGTTTATTGTCCTTATAGGATTATGAGACATGACTGTATGTTAGCTTTTTTTGCTTATTGATGCTTCAGTTGTGGTGAAAGCTTTCAGGAAGAGTGAAGAAACACTTCAGTCAGGCAGTTTGTCATTCTGGAAACTGAAATTTCTGCTGAAGGAGACTGTGGGTTAGTTTAATTTTTCACCTTCTGTTCCTTGATGTTTTCTGCTTAATGTATGCTGTTTAAAACATTGAAGAACAGCAATGAAAGTGGTGAGGCAGCTGATCTACCTAATAGTGAATGTGCCTAACTTGACTAAATGGCTTAAAATGTATCTGTCATCATGCTTGAAGATCTGTATTAAGGCTGGAAGTGAATTCTTGAAGGTGACAGCTGTAGAAATATATACTATGGGAAAGAAAGGTGTGAAATACAAATGCAGAAAAAAAAAATCTGAAAGAGCTTTTTAAGCTGAAGATTTTCTCATTCTGTTTAAAATAAGTGATGTGCATCGCTCATTAACCTCATTCTAGCGTGGCTCAGAAGCCTGTCTTTCTCAATTCAGTTTGTTTATAGGCAGTGTGTAGCACTCATGACCCTTTATGGTTTGGGTCTAGTTTGGGGCAAGACCTTGTTCCTTGATGGTTTGTTCTAATCCTTTTTTAGTAAATGACTAATCAAGGAAAGTCCATTGCTTTTTCTGTTTTTCTTTCCCGTGGTATGTTTTTATAAGCATTCTTTCTAGTAACAGAAAAGGGAAAAAAAAAAATCCTGATTCTGATCCCTTCACCTGCTCTCAGAAATAACTGGGATTCATTTCACCTGGAGCATCATAAGCCAATACTGTTAATTTTGAGCAGAACTTGCCATTTTAAGGCTGCTCTTGACAGAATGAAAAGTACACACCTTACCCCGAACCAGCTTAAAAGGGAATGAAAAATAACTGATTCTTGATGTCAGAGGGCCATAAGGTGCTGCCATCAAGACAGATGTTTTTCCATTGTCAGGGAGAGATTAAAGCAAAATAATTCCTCAGTCTATAGAGACGTGAACAAAGGATTTCACAGATTTCATATGATCCACTGTAAGAAGCAACCTGTCAATCAGTGCAAGTTAGACAATAGCTATTAAAGTCATAGTCCTGTTTTCTTGGGAGTATATGGCATGTTCTTGATAGCCTAGAATGTTTCTGGGAATAGGCAGTAGTGTAGTCGCTGAGAACGTTTTGTGAATTAAAGCTACAGCAACTTACTGTATCAAGGATTTGAATTCTTCCTTGGCCGTGACTGTGCAATCTGCATATTCAGATTTATTTAGAGCATCTGCTTTGTGATGTTTGACTTGTTCGAGATCATCTTGAAACCTCTGAGGAAACCTCTCTTCTGTACTACTGTACGTAGTAGTATACCTCTGCTGTGCTCACTGCTGCTCTTTTCCTGTAACATTTTTGCTTATAACTGTGGCATTGTGGCTCTGTTTTCTTGGGTGACACTACAAGGGTAGTTTTCATTTGATTGGTTTGAAGTTCTTTAAGGTATCTTCTTAAAAGGGCAGAAGGTTTCTTCTTTGAACAGTTATCACTTGGCAGGGGTACAGGAACAGATAATTTTGTCACAGTAATTTGCAGTAGTAGCATGATTGCGCTCTTGTTTTTGCCATGCTTTTTTGTAAAGTTCATTAAATCCAGAAAACATGTTCAAACCATCTAGAAAATCTTTTTAAATCAGAGTTGTTTAAGATGGTTGTAGAACATGTCAAACAGCAGCAAAGCTAAGCAGATGGTCTGTTGTTTCCATAGTAGTGAGCACTTCATTGCAAGCATGCTCTATACCTTAATACTCTCCAGTTGCTGTGAGAGCTGATCTTTTTCAAATGAGGGAGACAAAGCCTTCAGGTAGTTCATTGTGGCTGGCAAGAGCTTGAAATTACGTTTCAGTAGATTAGATGTTATATAGTTTCTTGCTGAGATGCATTCCTCTTGGGCTTTCAAAGCTTGTGGAAAATCAGAGGAGAAATTTGGGATGTTCCTATTTATTTTGTACGGTTCTCAAGCTTGTTTGTACCCTGTTAAGAGTTTTGGACAGTGATTCACCTAATTGGTACTTTCATTCTTTTCCTTAAGAAGTAGTAAAGTCCCATTGAGATGAGTCGGACTTTTCCGTGTGTTTCCAAGGTGTAATGCCTCTTTCTACAATTCTGTAAAAGGAATCGCCTTTTCCTCAGTAACTTCAGAGCTGTATCACTATAACGAGGAACTGCTGATAGCCAGTAGCAGGAACTTAGGGAGAAATCCTGTGGCTGTGTGTGGCTAATGATCAGCAGAAGCTATTGCTCTTAAGTGGCAGTGAAACTAGTTTGCTGGAGGTTCCTTTCAAAGTGTTTTTCTCTGTAGAACTAGTAAACCTACCTAAAGGTTAATTTTCTTTCTTAAATGTGCAGTTTAATCAAACACGTTATTGAGCTCTGAATGCCCCAGTAAGGGATGGAACTGTTTGGCCCAGTCTTAGTCTGAATCTTTAAAGAAATCAGGAGAAAATGGTTGTTTATTTTCAGCAACATTTTGGTGTGGTTTTTTTTGTTTGTTTGTTTGCTTTTGGGTTTTTTTTGTAAAATGCCTTTTCAAGATTGTAGATTTTAAGTAACTACATTCTACATATTTTGAAAACTGTAAAGGAAAATACTACAAAAGCAAGTATCACCAGTAGTAGGACTGACATAAAAATCATAACGGGTTCATAATCACTGACTGTGCAAAGCCAGGTCTATTATGCTGAATTTTTGCATGTGAGTTCAGAACAGTTTTTTCTCTCAACTGTCTTTGCCTGATTTATTGGAGTGGTGCATGTTTTCATGTTGTTTTAG